GTTTTCTCCGTGGTAACAGTGTGTGGGGCAGCGTGATCGCCTTATCCCAGCACTGGGCCCTCTTCCTGCATGGACTGGGACACACTTCCCAGGCTGCTCTGCCCTTCTCTTCTACTGTCGTCAGGATGCACCAGTCCTAGGAGCCCAGGGGAGAGAGTGGTTGGGTTTGGGGGTGCATCAGCACTCACAGGGGCAATGCCTCATCCCTGGGACTTCTTTCTCCAGTCATCCTCAAGTGGGATTTAACAGGGGGGACCTGAAGAGGAAACTGGTTTGATGAGAACCTCACATTGGCTCCTGCCCTTCCTCCCCAGCCTAAGTCCTGTGACTGTGAGTCAGTGTCAGGGCCTAGCCAAGTTCCTTGGGAGCCACGTTCCTGTTCCCTTTGCCCCCCACCCCCACCCAGTGTCGGAAAGTAGCCTCTGAATCCCTGTGGGGAGGGGGAAGGATTAGGGAAGGGTTGAGTAGAGCACCTAGTCATTATACCTAAGCTCTGTGGGGTACAATTATCCTACTGGGTTTGAGTGTGGGTAGTATGTGAGGGTAAGGTTCAGCGGAAGGCAGGTGGTCCAAAGATCTCTTTACCTATTGAAATTGGTAGAGGTGGAGTGCAAGGCAGGGGTCCCGAGGAGTCGCTGTCTAGGAGATACCCAGTTTGCAAGAGGGATCACCTCTGGTGGTGGTAGTTGGGGAGGAGACAATAAATGGATGGAAGCCAGTGGGTCCTGGAGAGGAGGTGCCTAGAGGAGGCCAACAGGGGTCCCTGTCTCCAGACTCCCCACTGCCCTTGCCCCACCCCTACCCTCTTCCGTCCTTTTTAGCCTCTTCCTTCTCCTCCAGAGATGGCATAAACTGAGTGTGGGCACCTGGTCTCCATCCTCCTCCCCTACTCACCTTGCTGAAGTTCTCCTTCTTTCTGAGCCATGCCTCAGTTTACCTTCAGAGTCCTTTTACGGCCTTCCTCCTATGTTCTCTTTCCTCCAGCCCTATAGCTTATTCTCTGCTCCTTCCTACCCTCCCTAGGACATGAGGAAATTGAGCAATAGGGACATTGAAGAAATGGGAACAGGGGTGAGTAGAGGAAGTTTGGCCTATGTCACTGGTTCCAACCTTTTGACACCATAGGCCTTCCCTTTTCCATCTCTGTGGGCACCATATTTTGACATACTTTTCTCTCAGATTGAATTTATTGATGATGTGTCCTGCTTTTCCATTTAAAAAAAAATTAAAGTTTATTTATTATTGAGAAACAGAGAGAGAGAGACAGAGCATGAGCATGGGAGGGGCAGAGAGAGAGGGAGACACAGAATCTGAAGCAGGCCCCAGGCTCTGAGCAGTCAACACAGAGCCCGACGTGGAGCTCGAACTCACAAATCGCAAGATCATGACCTGAGTTGAAGTTGGACTCTTAACTGACTGAGCCACCCAGGTGCCCCCCTGCTTTTCCATGTTTAAGAGTCATGCAACATATGCAGTGTTTGGTCAGTGCCCTGGCTAGCATGAGATACCCTGACTTACCATATAAGATTCATGAAAGTCCAGCCAACATTGAAGATGTGTGATGTTTTAGTTAGCCTGAGTGCTGGTATCTTGAGTAAAAGCATATTTAAAAATACCGGATGAGGGGCACCTGGGTGGCTCAGTCAGTTAAGTATCCGACTTTGGCTCAGGTCATGATCTCACAGTTCGTGGGTTCGAGCCCCACATCGGGCTCTGTGCTGACAACTAGCTCAGAGCCTGGAGCCTGTCTTTGGATTCTGTAACTCCCTCTCTCTCTGACCGTCCCCTGTTCATGTTGTCTCTATCTCTCTCTAAAAAAATAAATAAAACATTTACAAAATAAATAAATAAATAAAAATATAAATACCAGATGAGCTAGTGGACCTGTCCTCAGTGCCTTTTGGTACCTAAAAAATAAGATGGTCCTGCTCAAGGAAGGTCTAGGGTTGGGGAAGCTTGTCCATCAACTAACCAGCCAACACTTAGCCAGTGCCTCTTGTGTGCTGGCCTTGAACTTGGTGTGCAGAGCAGGGTTCTGTGGGAAGATACTCAGACACTTCACTTTGGAGAGGCCAGATAGGTGGAAAGATGGCAATGAATACAAGGCAAAATGTGCCCTTGCCAGTGACTCCTCTAGGAGCTCAGAGAGGAGAGACAGCTGTTGCTACATAAGTGATGGAGATTGTCCCAGAGAAGGTGGGCTTCCAGGGGTGGGTTCTGCGCTAACAAGGGGTGGACATGTCTGTAGGTGGGCCTCCCCCCATAGCTCTTTCATTCACACTTTTCAGATGTGGAACAGATGGCCATCGACTGGCTGACAGGCAACTTCTACTTTGTGGATGACATCGATGATAGAATCTTTGTCTGCAACCGTAACGGGGACACATGTGTCACCTTGCTGGACCTGGAGCTCTACAACCCCAAGGGCATTGCCCTGGACCCTGCCATGGGGTGAGGGGCAGGCAGAGGCTGTGGTGGAAGGGAGAGTGTTCAATGTCCACAACGCAGCTAACGTGCCCTCTGCCCACAGGAAGGTGTTCTTCACTGACTATGGGCAGATCCCAAAGGTGGAGCGTTGCGACATGGATGGGCAGAACCGCACCAAGCTGGTCGATAGCAAGATTGTGTTTCCTCACGGCATCACGCTGGACCTGGTCAGCCGCCTCGTCTATTGGGCTGATGCCTACCTGGACTACATTGAAGTGGTAGACTACGAGGGCAAGGGCCGGCAGACCATCATCCAGGGCATTCTGGTGAGGGGGAAGCTTTTGCAGGGGAGCCATCCTTTAGGCCTCCCAGTGACAGGGAGGACAGTGTAGACCAGTCTGTCTGGTGGGAAGCAGGATGGACATGGAGAGGATGTGGCTTCCCCTCTGGTGGAAACAGTCATTTTAGACACATCTTTTACTTCCCTTTTCTCACTTGATCCTTACAACAACCCCTGGGAGATAGATGGGTGGGTGTCTTAGTTCACTTTTGGTGGATGAAAAAAGCAGGGTTGAAAGAGGTTAGTGATGTGCCTGAGATTACACAGCTGAGAAATAGCACTGGAACCTAGTCTAGAGCCTTTCCAACTCAGAGGTGGCACCACCAATCTGGGATACTTAGGGTAACCAACCATCCCTGTTTGTCAGGGATTGTCCCAGTGTTAGCCTGGGAAGTCCCACAAACCAGCAAATCCCTTTGTCTTGGACAAGCTAGGACAGTCGATTACATTGGATAAGTTATGTGGGTAGTGGGGGCTGTTACCAGGCTTGCTTGAGGCAAGTCTACCCTCTCAACTTCCTAAAGCTGGGGCTGGAGTTGAGCTAAGAATGTTCTCTGTGGACAGAGTTTAGGGCCCGACTCCAATTCAGTCCAAAATCATTCCATCATCTACTGTGTGCCTGAATCTGTGGGGGACATTGTTCCTGCCCTCAAGGGGTTTGAGCAGAGTGGATGGGGTAAGTCCACAAATCACCAGACAGGGGATAATAGCCAGAGAGATGGGATGTGAAAGGAGAGCCTGTATCTGGTTAGAAGATCCCAGAAGCTCTACAAAGAAATGCTCTGTGAAGGATAAGTGGGGTTTTGACAAGCAAAGATCTCAAAAGCAAGAACATCCAGCCAGAGGATTGCAGGAGTAAAACATGGAGTTAGACAGCCGTGGAACGAAGTTGGGAGTGCAAGTAATGAAATATGGATGGGAAGCCAAGGGGCTCTCCAGAGTCCAGGGGAGGATTCCCTTCTCTCACGTTGACCATTCCTGCTTGCCCATCTCAGATTGAGCATCTGTATGGTCTGACCGTGTTTGAGAATTATCTCTATGCCACCAACTCGGACAACGCTAATGCCCAGCAGAAGACGAGCGTGATCCGAGTGAATCGATTCAACAGCACTGACTACCAGGTTGTCACCCGTGTGGACAAGGGTGGTGCCCTCCATATCTACCACCAGCGGCGTCAACCCCGAGGTGGGTGGGGCTCCACAGCCTTTCTCTGTACCCTCTTATGGGAAACCCCAGTTCTCTCATATCATGACTACAGGGAAGGTAGCCATCCACCCCAGGCTATCTCCCCCGTGCCCTCAGATTCCCCTGCCAGCCTCTTCCTGTCCCTTAGCCTCCAGATCCCACCTCCTTGGAGCCCCTTGCCCCCCATTCTGTTCAGAATATAGGCTCCTCCCAGTTCCCTGGCTGCTTTATAGTAGAAGCACCTGACCATAGACAATGGCATGACTCTCTCCCCTGATCACAGAAGCACCCATCTGAGCATCTGAAGGTTAGGTTGTGGTGGGGCAGAGAAATCTTAGTCCTATGGTTTCTGAATCTTCAAATGGGACAACAGGCATAGAGACCACAGCAGGGGGAACAGCTGGTTCTGTTCATGGGACATGTGGCTTTTGATCTCATGGTTATGAGTTTAAGCCCCACATTGGGCATGGAGCCTACTTAAAAATTAATTGATTGATTAATTAATTTAAAAGACCACAGCAGGGTGGAGTGTGGTCAGACTTCAGGAAGCCTTCTCAAGGCCTGGGCATGGGGGCTCTGAAGATTCCTGACCAGCTCTCTCCCCTGCCTGCAGTGAGGAGCCACGCCTGTGAGAATGACCAGTTTGGGAAGCCAGGTGGCTGCTCCGACATCTGCCTGCTGGCCAATAGCCACAAGGCGCGGACCTGCCGCTGCCGCTCCGGCTTCAGCCTGGGCAGTGATGGGAAGTCATGCAAGAGTGAGTGACAGAGAAGGGCACGTGTGCCTGCTGGGATGGGGTGGGGCGGTGTCCGTATCTATCTCCCTACAGCCTGGCTGTTTCTATCTGAAATGCAGAGAAATGAAGGAATTTACCCAACATTTTGCCTATAGTGAGGGGCATAGAAGGAATTTGAACCCACATCTGAGAACAAGGCTCTTCCCACTACCCTACTCAGGTTCCATGGAAGACTGTCAACTGGCCCATTCAATTCATTCATTCATTTTTTTCACTCAACAAGTATCTAGTGAGCATGTAGTAGATGTCTGGCACCGTCCTGGCGGTGAGGATTCAGCAGTGACAAGATAAATGTCGTCTCTGCCTTCCAGAGCTTGTAGTCTGGCAGAGGAGACAGACAAATAAAAATAACTTCGGGTGGTACCTGGTGTTAGGAAGAAAATAGAGTGGAGCGTAGACTTGCTGATGATGCCGAGGGCTCTAGGTTAGACAGAGTGGTCAGGGAAGGCTTCTCTGTGGAGGTAGGAGTGGAGCCAAGCTCTCTATGATGTGAGGAGTTGGATCACGTGATGACCTGAAGGCAGACCTCCCTGGCAGAGGAACTCTATAGTGCCAGGCTCCAAGGCTGAGAACGGCGCAGCATGAGTGAGGGGAGACAGGAAGGAGAGGTTGGATGGGATTCTAAACGGGAAGAGGAGCTCTTGGTGACTTTCCAGCAGAGAAGTGACGTGATGTGCTTCACATTTGCAAAAAGATCGTACTGGCTGGCCTCTGGGTGGAGGATGGACAGCAGGGAGGTGGCAGGAGGCTATCACTGCTCTGTAAGCAAGAAGTGATGTGGCTTAAATAAGAATGAGATGGGGCGCCTGGGTGGCTTAGTCGGTTAAGCGTCCGGCTTTCGCTTAGGTCATGATCTCGCGGTTCGTGGGTTCGAGCCCCGCGTCGGGCTCTGTGCTGACTGCCAGCTCAGAGCCTGGAGCCTGTTTCAGTCTGTGACTCCCTCTCTCTCTGACCCTCCCCTGCTCACGCTGTGTCTCTCTCCTCTCCTAAAAATAAAATAAAAAAAAAAAAAAAAAAAAAGAATGAGAGCAGAAGTGGTCCAAAGTGACCAGATTCCAATCAGATTCAGTGGGCACTTAACTGAAACGGTGTTACTGTTACTCTTGCCGAATTTCCCACCCACAGAGTGCACAGGCAACACCCCAGGGTGCTGTCCCCTGGAATTTAGATGTTTATGTGTCTGTCCATGTGGCCCAGATGCCCTGCTACACCTGTATTCCCTGACCAGGAGAGCTGGGATGTTGCAGCCATGGGCCATGGTCCCAGAGGCTGGGCGGTAGCTGTGTGTGTGTGTGTGTGTGTGTGTGTGTGTGTATGAAAATGTAAAAAAATATAACAAACAAAAACCCCCCCCCCCCCCCCCCCCCCCCCCCGCCTTGTGCCTGCCCTAGAGCCAGAACATGAGCTGTTCCTTGTGTATGGCAAGGGCCGACCAGGCATCATCCGGGGCATGGATATGGGGGCCAAAGTCCCAGACGAACACATGATCCCCATTGAGAACCTCATGAACCCCCGGGCCTTGGACTTCCATGCTGAAACTGGCTTCATCTACTTTGCTGACACCACCAGCTACCTCATTGGCCGCCAGAAGATCGATGGCACCGAGCGGGAGACCATCCTGAAGGATGGTAAGGGGCCCCAAATGTGGGAGATGTACAGACACGACCCCCGAGGGACACCCACCTGGGACAGGAAACGATTTGAGGCCCGGGCATCGGTGTCTCAGTGCCCTTTCAGCGTGGAGAGTTCCCTGATGACTGGCTCACCAGGCTGGTTGGCATGGAGATGAGGGGATAGACAGAGTGACCCCTGTGTGACCCCCTTCTTGGCTGAGCCGTAAAGAGGCAGGAGGATGGATGGTTAGGCAGCGTGGGCTGTCCTTGCCAACCTTGGGAAAACTCAGGGTCTCTCTGCCATTGGCTCTGAGCCCCAGAGCTGCACACGGTACACAGCCCACCAGAGTCCTGAGGCCTCGAATAGAAGCAGGCATACCAGCACATGATTGCACACAGAGGGTCTGTGCGGCCAGACCTCACGGCAACTGGAGCTGCGTGTTTACTCGTCCTGAGAAGAGTATGTTTTGTGAACCAAATCCAGTTTTTCCCCCTGAGCTGCTCGGGCAGGTCAACAGTATGTTGTCTCTTGAAAATCCATCTGCATGGAGGCCCTGAGCTCCTGAGTTCCGCCTGTTCCTGCCGTGTGTTAGGAATTCCCGCACTTTGGCCCCCAGGACAGGGCCCCCTAACCAGTCATCTAGCTGACGCCAGTGAGCACTCCCCATCCCCCCCCAACCCTCCCCCCTTCGGCTCACAGAACCTCAGCAGTCAGCAATCATAAGACTTTGGGGAAATCAAAAGTAACTCATCAGGAAAAGATTGGGGTTCCCTATACCAAGGGAACTGCTTTTTAAGCTTGAGATGAAGCCTTTGGCTCAGTGAAAAGTCACTTCCTAATTTATTCATTTTGTTAGCTCAGGAGTTTTAGGCCTGGGATGTTGTGTCACATTTGTGCCCTGAGCCACATGCGCATTGCTCCAGCTCACTGCAGTTCAGGCTCAGACATGCCCTCACATGACAGCTCGCATCTACCACGTAGGTTTACAGGCTGCTGTGGACAGTTTTCAGAGACCCTGTGCCTCAACACAGACATGGCAACACAGCCTCCCTGGCTCTTTCTTCCAACCTCCCACCCCGTCCCACCTACCCTCGGGGCCACAGGGTACTCCCTGCAGTCCCTGCCAGTCAAGTTGCTTAGAGCCACATGTAGCCTGAGGGGCAGAGGCAGGCAGTCTTGAACTTCCTTTGAGGCTCTCCATTGCCCCCTTGGCTCCCTGCAGGTATCCACAATGTGGAGGGTGTGGCTGTGGACTGGATGGGGGACAATTTGTATTGGACGGATGATGGGCCCAAGAAGACTATCAGCGTGGCCAGGCTGGAGAAGGCTGCTCAGACCCGCAAGACCTTAATTGAGGGCAAAATGACACACCCCAGGGCCATTGTGGTGGATCCGCTCAATGGGTGAGTCTTCCCAGGGCCTTGGGACGGGAGGAGCCACGAACTGTGGGTCTCAGAATTGGGAGGTGAGACAGAGAGTGAACAGAGTAGGCAGCCTAAGTGGGGTGCTGAGGCAGGAATCAGGCTGAATGGGGAAAAGTTACCCCAACCTCAGGACAATGGGAGTGATGTCTCACACACATACATAGAGATCTGGTCCTGTCACTCCCAACTCGGAGCCCTCCACTGGCTCCCCTTGCCCTTGGAGTTAGACCCACATTCCTTATCAGGCCTGGGGTCCTACAGGATCTGCTTTCATCTCCATTGACCTCATCTGCACCTTTCTTCTGCTCTTGGAAACACTGTCACCACTGCCCGCTGTCTGTTCCTCAGACACTCCAGCTCTTCCAGGCTCAAAGCTTTTGCTCTGGGAGTTCCTTTGCTGGAGCTCCCAGACGTTTGCAGATCTAGTCCCTGTCATCATTCACACATAGGTCTCAATTGCCACCTCCTCAGAGAGGCTTTCTCCACCTGATGCCCAGTCTACTCCTTATATCATCACCATGCTTCATGTCCTTCCTGGGTTTTCTCAATCTCCAATGTGTGTGACCTTCCGGTTGACTTGTTTCTTGTCTGTACCCCTGGGTAGGATGTGATCTCCAGCAGAGCAGGGGCCTTGTCTGCCTTGCTCTCCACTGGATCCCTGACTCACAGTAGGCACTCAACAAATATTTGTTGAACGGAGGAATGCATGAAGGAAATGTGGGGTCCAGGGTTGAGTGGGAAGGAAGTCCCCTGGGAGGGACTCTGGCATAACACACGTGGATTGGGATCACACAGGAGGCTGCTGAAGGCAGGGGTAGCCTGTGTGGTGCTGACCAGTCACTGCCCACAGGTGGATGTACTGGACAGACTGGGAGGAGGACCCCAAGGACAGTCGACGAGGGAGGCTGGAGAGGGCCTGGATGGACGGCTCACACCGAGATATCTTCGTCACCTCTAAGACAGTGCTCTGGCCCAATGGGCTGAGCCTGGACATCCCAGCTGGGCGTCTGTACTGGGTGGATGCCTTCTATGACCGCATTGAGACCATACTGCTCAATGGCACAGACCGGAAGGTGGGTAGGCATGCAGCTGTGTAGGGTGTTCATGTGTGCGTTGCTAGACCACATATGTGTGTTGATGAAGCTTTTTATGTGTGAGTGTGTGAGCCTCTCTGTATCCAGGCCTGTGTGCATGTTTACCTACGTACCTATGGATGTGCACGTCCATGTGCTGTGTGTCTTACGTGTCGTCTGTGGGCGACGCTCATGTGCATTCCTGGGTGTATACCTTGTGTGCACCTCAGCATGTTGGTGCATACACACACAGCACACTTCAGAGTGTGCCTGCTGTGTTCGCCTCTGTGCGAGTGCAGGAGGCCAAGAGATGGCATATATGTGTGCTTTTTCATTCAGGTCACCATGTGTTTTGTGAGTCATGTGCATACTAGGCGTGTGGACTAAGTTATTTCATAATATATGAGGCCCTTTATGATATGGCTCCCGACTATCTCTGTGGTCTTATCCCTGCCCCTATTCCCTATATCCCAATATTTGAACGAGCAACACTACACAGCTTGGAATTCCCAGCACACAGCGTACTGAGTGCTGCCCTCTGTGCTGCTGCCTATGCAGTTTTCTGCCTCCACTGCCATGCGTCCTCACCCAGCACACTGCTCAGGGGCCCCCTCCTCTGGGATGTTGTCTCCAGACCCCTCTTCCACCCGGGACTGCCGCGTGTGCCCTCCATGAGACATACACAGTCTTTTTCATACCACAGCCAGCCCCTTCATAGATCCTGGGAAGTGTTTGTTGGAAAAGGAAATGAAAGGATGAGTTCTGGATGTATGCTCAGTACCGTGTGTGTATGTATGTGCATGTGTGTGTATGTGTGTATTGGAGGGAGATGAATGAATATGAATGGATACAAGGGACAAGTTCGCCATCAGCATCCCGCTGAGTTCAGTGTCTAGCACTTCTCTGTGTGCAAAGCTGTCACCCTCAGGGGCTCCCAGGCTAATGGGGGAAACAAGACCCATACCCAGGACATGGACAAATGAGTAAACAAAGTGGTGACCCCTGGGCCTTCCTCAAGCACCCCCTTTGTCTGTAGCTCCTCACTAACCTCCCCTCAATTCTTAGATTGTATATGAGGGTCCTGAGCTGAACCACGCCTTTGGCCTGTGTCACCATGGCAACTACCTCTTCTGGACTGAGTACCGGAGTGGCAGTGTTTATCGCTTAGAACGGGGCACAGGTGGTGCACCCCCCACCGTGACCCTTCTGCGCAGCGAGCGGCCCCCCATCTTTGAGATCCGCATGTATGATGCTCAGCAGCAGCAAGGTACCCCTTGGGGCTGGGGCCAGTGATAGGGTGGGACCTAGATGGAAGGGTGAGGCTACTCTGGGGAGGGGGAGGGGAGAAGGCCCTTGCCCGGGATCCCAGGCTCGGACTTTTGAGGCTCTCAAGAAGAGAGACCCCAAACCAGTGTGACTTTGTCTCCCCCATCTCCTTCCCTGCCCCGTGCCTACATGTTCTCTTCGTCACCATGCTCATTGTCTTCTCACCACTTCCTCTCTTTCCGACTCCTCACGTCAATGTGTCTTCTCCCTGTCCTCTCATCTCTCTCTGGCCTCTGCTGACTCTGCGACAACTCGCCCCATCCTCCCCTGGCCCCTCCCTTGGCCCCTCCTTTGCAGTGGGTACCAACAAATGCCGGGTCAACAATGGTGGCTGCAGCAGCCTGTGCTTGGCCACCCCTGGGAGCCGCCAGTGTGCCTGCGCCGAGGACCAGGTGTTGGACACAGACGGTGTCACCTGTTTGGGTATGAGGCGCCCAACCGGGGTGGGTGGCCAGACAGCAGTCCTCAGCAGGAGTGGCCGCCGTGTCCAATCAGAGATAAAGGAGGCAGAGAGGGTCCTGGGGGGCGGGGGGGAGACGACAAGAGGCAAGGGGTGGGGAGAGAGCAGGCTCTGGGGGCCAGGAAGGGGCTTAGGGAGGACTGGGGGCTGGGAAGAGTTTGGGAGAGCACAAAAATTAGGGGAAACTGAATGATGAGCAGGACAATAATGGAAAGAGGAAAAAATACTTTTACATTTGTGTCCTCTTGATTAAAGTACTATAACAACCGTTCTAAATGTTAGAATTAGAGAAGAGACAAAAAGCCCCCATCCCACCGACAGACACCACTATATTGTCATCACTGTGGGGAAGTGAGATTTTTTGGGCCCAGCGGATTACACGGTTGGTTTTCTGTAGCTGAGATCATGCGTACATAAAATGTCTTTCGCCCTTTGGGGCTCATATGTGTCACAGCATTTTCTGTGTTATTGTTGCATAATTTTACATAGCCTCTTTTTAAATAAGAGCAGGTCATGCTCATTGTAAAAAATAAATAAACAATATAGAAAAACATAGGAGAAAGTACAAGTCACCCCAAATACCACCACCCATGGATGTCACTCTTACCATTTGGGGGGACACCCTCCCAAACATGATTCTACATGCTTCCCTTTACTTAAACAAAACTGTGTTTACTTAAACGGAACACATGCTCTTCTGTTTTCTGCTTTTATCGCTCAACAGTAGGTCATAGATACATAAGCAGAATTTTTAATGGCTAAAATATATTTCATTAGTTAACGTTCCATAACTTTCTCAACCATTTCTCTACCATGGGACATTAAGGTTGTTTCTCTCTTTTGTTATAATCACAGCTAACATTCATTTATTGAGCACAGACCGGGTACTCAGACATGATTATAAGCACTTCCCATGGAGTAGCTTGTTTACTCCTTCAAATATTCTTGTAGGGAAAGTATTCTTATTATCTCCAATTTACAGAAGAAAAGGAGGCCCAAAGTTATAATGGGGATTTGAACCCAGGAAGTTTGACCCAGAACCTGTTTAGTGTTTTGGGTTTTTTTTTTTTATCACTTGCTTTGCTATTTCGCATATCTTCCTGACTTCCCATATTGTGGAAATATCCCATATCATGGTTTCCTTAAGATAGAATCCCAGAAATGAAAATGGGTCAGTGGGGCCTTAATGGACAGCCAAGAATGAGTGACTAAAGCCAGGTGGTGGAGGGCAAAAACATTGATGGAGAGGGGAACTGAGTGGCCAGGGTAATGGAAGGATCCGCACGGATGTTGAAATCACCAAGAATTAAAGCAGGAGAGATTTGGGGAAAAGTGACACCGAGCCAGGTGCTAAAAACCCTTATGAATGACGGGGAGTGGCCTGGTAGCCCAAAGAAATAGGGATTGGTGTAGTCTAATAACATGAAAGTCAGAGCTGATTTTTCAGAAGGGAGAGCAGAACAGTCTCGAAGCAGTTGCAAGGAGCAAGAGACACAAAGCAAGGCCCAGTGGTCCAGGGCCACAGGAGAGAAACTAGGCACCCATGGGATGCAAGGAAGCTTCAGAGATTAGAGTGGATATGAGAGTTGGACGGGTCAGAAAGGCTGCAAGCAGAGCTTAGGGTGCGGGAGCCCACGTGGGAGTGCTGGCCTTCCCCCTGTTACCGACACAAATGCAGACAAAGCCGAAGTGATTTTACTGCTGTGTGCTCAAGGCCGTCAGGGCTGGTGAGGTGGCAGTGTTGGGAGTGGGAGGGTGGAGCCTGCAGAGCTCTGGGGTCTGTTTTCACTCCTGCTGGTGGAGTTCATGCATCTATGGAGGAAAATGTCCACCGACCATGACAGGACTCGGGGGGTCCCAGAGGTGACTTCCAAGAACCAGTTTGTGGAGATTACAGGAAGCTGGTGAGGAGTGGTCTTCTCAGGAGGGACAAAAGGAAGGGGTGGGGGGCTCTAGTCTCTCTTGGAAGCTGCTTCTTCTCGGGCCAGACTGAAGTACTGAAAATATTTAAGTAAACATCACCGTTGTGGCTTGAGAAAGAGCTGCAGTTTCCATCCCGATTATTTGTTCGTGAAAAATCACGCCCTAGGAGAGATTACTGTCTGCACATTATTTAAAATAAGACAACAGGCAAACGTAGTAGAGAGAACGGAGCACCTGTCCCATGACCTGTGTCTGACTTTCCCCCCACACCCCTGTGGTGCCCACAGCAAACCCATCCTACGTGCCCCCACCCCAGTGCCAGCCAGGCGAGTTCGCCTGCGCCAACAGCCGCTGCATCCAGGAGCGCTGGAAGTGTGACGGGGACAATGACTGCCTGGACAACAGTGACGAGGCCCCGGCCCTCTGCCGTGAGTTGCCCGCCCCTCCGGACGACTGCAGGGCAGCTGGTGGAGAGAGCTAGGCCCCGCCCCTCTCACTGACCCCTGAACTCCTCACCCCCCAGATCAGCACACCTGCCCCTCCGACCGGTTCAAGTGTGAGAACAACCGGTGCATCCCCAACCGCTGGCTCTGTGACGGGGACAACGACTGTGGGAACAGTGAAGACGAGTCCAATGCCACTTGTTCAGGTGTGGGGTCGGGGTGGGCCACATTGGGCACCCCTCAGGCAAGGAGGCCGGGACAGGGTGCAGCCAGGCTTGGGAAGACAGAGTGGCCTCGGGAAAGAAAGGAGCACGGGGTATTGGGGCAGAGAGGACGGGATCCTGAGCAGGAGGACGGAGTGCTCTCCCCTTCCCCAGGAGAACGGGGCTGGCTGGGAGGACTGAGCCAGGGGGCAGGTGCCCAGAGCACAGCTCCAGTTTGGAGACGGGAGCAAGACAGGGTGGATCTCCTCCTTGCGGGACACCAAAGACTCCGAGAGAGACGGGGTGTAGCATATGCAGGGCTCAGACCACATGGGTGGCTTTAAACTTCTCTCCGAGAAATGGCGGTGAGACCCTTGGGAAGACTTCTTGATGGGCAGAGGATACGAGGAAAGAATAGGAAATTAAGAGAGGAGGGCAAGACTATGAACACCCGCATCTATCCCTGTCACCAGCTCGCACCTGCCCGCCCAACCAGTTCTCCTGTGCCAGTGGCCGCTGCATCCCCATCTCCTGGACGTGTGATCTGGACGATGACTGCGGGGACCGCTCCGACGAGTCTGCCTCATGTGGTAAGAGGGACAGCAGGGAGGCTGGGCTGGCACGGGGGACGGGGAGCCCATCAGAACATGCCCTGGGGGGGGGGGAGCTGGAGGGCTCCTGAACCTTAGTCCCTGGGGAGCCTTGAGCAAGTTCTTTCATCTCTGTAGCCTATGTGAGTTTTGTCTCCAAAATGAGGATAATCAGAGCACCCACGTCCCTGTGCTGACGTGAGGATCCAGTGAGATGAAGCAGGCAGAGCTCTCAGCACAGGGCTAGTGGTGGGTAACTAGAAGCTTGACGAAGGGATGCTTAGAGGGATGGGGATGAATGACCAGAGCTTCAGGCTGATGCCCCACCACGTAGCTTTCCCAGCCCTGTCTGACCAGGCTACAGCTGCTGGTTCCAGGAGGGACCCCTCACCCACCTGCCGGGTGCTGTGATGCTGTATAATCTTGAGAGCCCAACTCAGCTGTTCTTTCTCCCTGACAGCCTATCCCACCTGCTTCCCCCTGACTCAGTTTACCTGCAACAATGGCAGATGCATCAACATCAACTGGCGATGTGACAATGGTAAGAGCTTGCCCCCCTTAGCCTGCCCTGATTCCTAGGAAAGCAAAAACCCACAGCCAGGCCCTGGGTGGGAGGTAAAGGGGTCTTAGAATCAAGCTGGGGCCTCCCTCCAATCTACTAAAGCCCCATGGCATTGGCTGGGAGAAACGAGGGCAAGCCAGAAATGCCACGGGGGAACTAGTGTGGACGCAGGGGAAACCCTGTCCCTGTCGCCTGTCAGTACCATTCCTCCCCAGACAGAGCCTGGGCTGCCCCATTCTCGGGCAGAGGCTAGGGGGGCCAGGGAGAAATGAGTGAGCAAGGCTAGAGGGGAGGGGCAGAGCAAGGAGAGCCCAGTCCCCACCTCCCTTCACCCCACAAGCCCCATCTCCTGGGGTCCTCGGTGCACCCTCCAGGCTCCACCTTCAGGCTCGGAGCCCACCTGGCGGTCAGCCATGGACCAGGTGATGTCAGCCCTGAGCCACGGGGGCCAGTGTATCGTCGTGTGTGTGCCGTCTCGGGGCTCTGGTTGTGTCTGTGTGTTGTGACTTGTTGCACCGGAGGCTCCAGCCCTGGCTGACGTGTGAGAGCATGTATTGGGTCAGCGCCACGTTGCCCCTCATCTTTGCTGTGTCTCGTGTGCCAATGGTTGCCCTGGCGGTTTCTGTGTTTCAGAGAAGGATTGTGGGGACGGCTCTGATGAAAAGACCTGTCCTGAGCCTGCCGGTCAGTGCATAGAAGCACATGCACCATCACCCCAGAGTCCCAGCTGGCCTCGGGCCGCCTCTCAGGACCCCCCCCACCCTACAGCAGCTCCTCTCTCCAGAGCTCCTAGGATGTGAAGGGGAAGGGAGAAGGGAGAGAGGAGGCAACAGAGAGAGAAAGACAGTGGAAGGGAAAGAAGCAGAGAGGGCAGAGGAGAGGACAGAGACGTGGGGACAAAAAGACCAAGACACAGAGGGGAGGAGGGAGAATCAACTCCAGGTGAAAAAGAGGCAGGAACGCACCCCAAGGGGTTAGCTGTACCCCAGCCTTCTCAAGCATCCTGAAAATGTGGAGGGAAGTCTAGTGTCCCCTCAGCCACAAGGCCTAGAGAGCAGGACGTTCATTCAGTCACCCTCAGATGCCTTCCAGGAGTGGCTCCCAAGGCTTCCCAGCTGCAGACAGTGCCCCTTGTGAGTGGGCCAAGCTCAGGGCGGGCCTCACAGGCCCTTCCCTCTCCGGCAGGGCAGCCGCACCTCCACGCCACCCACCTTCCTCCCTCCCAAGCCAGAGGAATCCCTGCCTTTCCCCCAAAGCAAGCAGACCCCTGTTCCCACACCCTGCCAAAATGAGAAAGGGAAAGAAACTCATCCAGTCCCCCACCCACCACCCTCTGAGACTCAGGGAAGGGCCCTCCCGGAGCCCACCCCTCCTCTCCCCGCCCCCTGCGTGGGCCATGGTGCATGCTGCAATCTATGCAGTTTCTGTGTCTTTTCTGTTTGTTATTTTCTCATTGGGGGGGTGGGGCGGGCCGAGGGTGGGAACGGGGAGGGGGGCGTGGGGGCCCCAAGCTGGGGTCACAGAGAAGGCAGCTTGCTGACCTCCTCTCTGCCTCTCCCTTTCTTGCCTCCCCGCTCAGACAATGACTGTGGGGATAACAGTGACGAGGCCGGCTGCAGCCACTCCTGCTCCAGCACTCAGTTCAAGTGCAACAGTGGGCGCTGCATCCCCGAGCACTGGACCTGTGATGGGGACAACGACTGTGGGGACTACAGCGACGAGACACACGCCAACTGCACCAACCAGGGTGGGTGCCGGGGGGCCAGGAGGCGGGGCGAGGCCATCACACGCCCAGTCACTTAGCCATCCCTCTGTCCCTCCGTCCTCGCCATTCTGTGACACAGCCATCTGGGAACCAGAGATAACCCAGGCATGGCTCTTATCCTCAGGAGGTGCCTGTCGTGCAGGAGAGAGACAGTGTCAACAAACCTTCGTCACACACTGTCAAGATTACGGGCTTTGCAGTTGGGTGGCCTTGGGTTTGAGCTCCAGCTCTGTAACTTACTATCTGGGTGGCCTTGAGCAAACTGCTTCATCTCTGTGGGCCTCTGTGAGTTTCATCTGCAAAGTGGGGATAATAATAGCACATGACCCACATCACAGCGCTGATGTGGGGGTTCAGTGAGATCATGCACAAAAAGCATTCAACACACAGCCTTTGCTCCAGAGCTGGTAGCTTGGAAAAGAGATGTTTGGTGGGGTGGGGTGGGGGGTGCTGGTAAGGATGAATGAGAACAGTGGGGACCAAAAGAAAGCAGGGTTGGCCCTGTGAGGGTCCTCAGTGCTCAAGCCTCCGGAGCCCAGCTGAGGGCCAGTGGGCGCCGAGTCTACTGGCAGGCATGGACCCTCTCAAGGAAGGTTTGTTTTTCAGCTCTGGCCAATTGTTTCCACGGAAGATTGCAGACCCAGCATTGCCCTGGCTTTAAGAGAAGTCATAAATGCAGATTTTTATGTGAAATCTACCCATTTTTAAGCCCTGCTGTATTCGTGTCCTGTTTGCTGCCACCACAAAGTTCCACAAACTGAGGAGCTTAAACAACAGAAATTTATCGTCTCAGTCCTAGAAGCTGGAAACCCAAGTCCAAAATGTAGGCAGGGTTGAGGGAGAGTCTACTCAGTCCTCGCTCCTAGCCTTTGGTGTTTGCGGGCAATCTTTGGCATTCCCTGGCTTGTATATGCTTCACCCCAGTCTCTGTCTTCATCTTTACATAGTGATCTCCCTGTGTGTGTGTGCCTGCCTCTCTCTGTGTCCAGATTTCCTCTTTATGTAAGGACACAGTCATATTCGATCATATCTCACCCTGATGCTCTCATCTTAATTTAATCATTTGCAAAGACCTATTTCCAGGGGTTCCTGAGTGGCTCAGTTGGTTGACTGTCCGACTCTTGACTTCAGCTCAGGTCATGATCTCAGGGTTGTGGGATTGACCCCAGTCTGTGTGGAACCTGCTTAAGACTCTCTCTCTCCCTCTGCCCCACTGATGCTCTCTCTCTCTCTCTCTCTCTTAAAAAAAAAAAGACCTATTTCCAAAGAAGATCACATTCACAGGTACTATGACTTAGGATATCGTACACAAGTTAACCCATAACAACTGGCAATGGACTTTAAAGGTTTTAAAAATACTGTAGGCCAAAATCTTTCAGCAGGCCTCATCTGGCCCCTGGGCCTCCAGCTTGCAACCTCTGCCTTAGAGAGTGATGGCGTACACCGTTAGAGCAGTACTGATAGCGCGTGTACCCACTCTGGGCCCAGAACTGAGAGCAGGGACAGGGAGGGTCACCTGAGGCCCAGGAAACAGTTGCTGGGTCTCAAGTCTGTCTCAGAAGGGCTGGGCGGGCGGGACAGATGATAGTGCCTTGGGATTCTGAGAAGGGAGCCTCTGCAGGCCTGTGGTGTGGTGGGAGAAGCACTCTGCCCCTCACTCACAAGCTAGGTGAACTTGGACAAGTCATTTCCTCTGAGATGTGACTTCCTCTTCTGTGATATGAGAGGAGCTGTGGGGGGGCCTGGCATGTGGGAGCAGGCATGTCATGATTGGTAGTGACTGTTAACTGTGGTGGTGAGCTGCAGTGGTCTGGGGCCATTAAGGAAGAGGTGCGGTCTGAACGGGGCCTGATGAGGGATTCGACTGTGGCCAAATGGACAAGAGGAAGGGTCCTCAGATGGGGAGCGCTAGGGGTGAAGAACACAGTAGTAAGATTCAGACGGTGAAACTGAGTACTTTTGCCTCTGCTTGGTGGAGCCCCTCAGACTGGAGGGGCCAACGGGGAATGAGGCTGTGCCCAAAGGGGGCAGATCATATCAGCAGTTGAAAGTCAGGCACTGGGGCCTTTGAAGGACTTTGAAGCTAGAAGGTGATAAGATAGAGGAGGTGCTAGGGCGCCTGGATGGCTCAGTGGGTTGAGCGTCCATCTCTTGATTTCGGCTCAGGTCATGATCCCAGGGTCGTGGAATGGAGCTCCGTGTTGGGCTCTGAGCTGAGTGTGGAGCCTGCTTAGGATTCTCTCTCTCTCTCTCTCTCTCTCTCTCTCTCTCTCCCCCCCCCTGCCCCTCTCCCCTGCTCCCTCACTCTCACTCTCAAATTAAAAAATATATATAAAATAAATAATAAATACCCTTTTAAAAAAGATATAGGAGGCACTTTCAGAGGATAATCCTAGAAGGGGATTCGATGAGAAAGAGGTTCAGGGGCCCCAAGGAAGGAAACCCAGCTGGGAGGCCGGTGCTGAAATGCAGGCACAAGAGGAGCACTGACCACATTCACGGCAGGGCGGGTGGGAGGAACAGGCGTCAGCGTGAGAGCGAGGTGAGGCTCCTGCACAGTCACCTATGCCTCCGGGTGCTGTTCCTGTTCCTTTCCGGCCTCCTCAGTCAGATGTCAGTGCAGCAGCCGGAGTGATCCTGCAGAACATGAGTCAGATCATACCCCACCCCTGCCCTCAAGCCTGCACTGGCTCCCGACCCACTTGAATCAAAGCCAAGCCCCACTCGATGGCCTGCAGGGCTCCCACCGCCTCTCTGACCTGCGTTCCTGCCACCCACTTCCTCCATCACTCTACTCCAGCTGTGCAGCCTCAAATATGCCTTGGGCACTTTGCGAATATGCCCTGCATGGTCCCATCTCAGAACCTAGCTGTTGCCCCCGCCGGGCTGCACAGCCCCGTATTCTCACGGCTCATGTCCTTCAAGCCTCTGTTCAAACATCTGCTTGGAGGCCTTCCTTGACCATCTTACCTGGTAGCCCTCTCTAGGAGCTTCGTCTCCATAGCATGGATCACTCCCTGCAGTAACATTCTGGATTTCTGTGTCATGTCTTCACTGTCTCTTCCCTACTAGAACTTCAGCTCCGTGAGGGTAAAGACAGTCTCGCTCACGCTGGCACCTGGAACAGTGCCTGGCACACATGAGGCGCTCAGTAGGTGTTTATGGAGTGAATGGGTGAAATGGAGGCAAGGCCAAGATTGGGGGGCCTTTGAGCTCTGGCCTAGCAAACTGCTTATCCAATAGAGCACTGGTGTGTAAGAGAGATTATAGACGAGCTGATTGCTTGGGGTCCTGGGAGGTGTGACATTCCTGACTCCAAGTTAGCTTCTGAAAAGTGTCGGCAGGGCCCAGAGAACTCTCCATCCCTACCTCGGCTCATAGCTCTGGATTGGGCAGAACAGGAGGGGGTTGGGAAGGCAGACATGGGAATGGCTGACCTCGAGCCCCCACCCCCCATGCCCTCCCTCTGTCCCCCCCGCAGCCACACGGCCTCCCGGTGGCTGCCACAATGATGAGTTCCAGTGCCGGCTGGATGGTCTGTGCATTCCCTTGCGCTGGCGCTGTGATGGAGACACTGACTGCATGGACTCTAGTGATGAGAAGAGCTGTGAGGGAGTGACCCACGTCTGTGACCCCAATGTCAAGTTTGGCTGCAAGGACTCTGGTAAAAAGAAGGATGGGCAGGAGCCTGGACTGGGGCAACATGGACAGGAGGAGACCATACTGAGAGCAGAGGAGTGGCAAGGGAGATGGCGCTATGCTATGAGGGGTGGGGATGGGGACATTGTGAGGCAAAGGGCTGCAGAGAAGAAGCTTGTGCATGATGCATGGGGGAAGCTATGAAGGGGCAAGGGCCTGCACTAAAGGCCCTGGGAACCAAAACTGTCACCAGAGTTGAGCTTCAGCACCCTCTGCAGATTCTTGCTTTCTTTGTTGCCTCTAAATCTGACAGAAAAGGCCTCCAGGTTCCTAGTGGACCCCAAGGCATTACAATCACGACCCTATTAGAGAAGCCCATTGGGTCTGGGAAGAAAGGCATGGAGAGCCCTCCTGCCCAGGCCTGTGGCCTCTCACACTATACTCACCCTGCAGCTCGATGCATCAGCAAAGCATGGGTGTGTGATGGTGACAGTGACTGTGAAGATAACTCGGATGAGGAGAACTGTGAGTCCCTGGCCTGCAGGCCGCCCTCGCACCCCTGTGCCAACAACACCTCAGTCTGCCTTCCCCCCGACAAGCTGTGTGATGGCAATGACGACTGTGGAGACGGCTCAGACGAGGGAGAGCTCTGCGGTGAGGCCTAGGCCTAGCAAAGGCCCCGGGAGGGGAGTGGGGAGGGTGACTGGGTAAGGAGTCTAGGCCGGAGCCAGGACGGTTGGAAGAGAGCAATCTCATCAGGGAGTGGTCTCAGACAGGGAAGGAGCAAGCAGCACCCCAAGCAGCTACCCGCAATGCTTGCTGGTTTCAGACTGGCCTCGGCCAGAGGCTGTGCTGAGCACACCACACTATTCTAGCATTTAATCCATACAACAGCCCTGGGAGGCAGACAGCATTATCATCTCCATCTTACAGATGAGAAAACTGAGGCCCAGAGGTTAAGTAACTGATCCAAGGTTTACGGTTCCTAAGGTGTTGTGGAGACAGTGCCGGGCACCCCCTTTCTGCAGTCACAGACCCCTCACTCACACTCGTCAGCAGAACGGCACAGAGCTGCCATTAAAGATGAAGACACGAGGATTGAGTGTTGATGTGGTCAGGGCAGGCTTTCCAGAGGAGGCAGCGATTTAACTGGGTTCCTGAGGACAGATAGATCTTGTAGAGTGAGAAGGTGGGGTGAGGAAGCTGTGCATTCAAGGATCAAAAGGAATAGGGGTCAGGGAGGGCCGTGTGGTGTGACATGGGGATGAGGAGCAGAGCAGAGCAGCCTGTCTCCTCCACGCCAGGCAGAGCATCTGTTGCTGGGGGGTGGCGGGGAGGAGTGAGGGAGGAGGCAGGCTGGGACTGGCCCCGAGAACCGCTGACAGGTCATCAGTCAGGGCTGACAGATCTCAGGGTGTGTCAGAGACCCAGCAGGACATTCCCTACCACACCCCACCCTAATCACACCCAACTCAGGAGAGATCGAGGAAAGGGCAACCCCCCACGAGACTCACCAGGGGCCCCACCGCGGGCCCCACCGCAGGCTCAAGAACGGACAGGGAAATAGAGACCAGAAGTATTCGTGATGTGAGGGTGTTCCTCAGGGGAAGGAGAAGGGTGGCCCCCGTGGTGGGTACTGGGGTCCCAAGCCTGGTCCCGAGGAAGCGCTGGGACAGAGGCTTGGCCAGCAATGGAAAAGTAGGATGCTACAGGCAGGGTGCCAGGGCTCTGTCTGGGCTGCCCAAGACCTGGGACCCAGCCAGGCCGTCGTCCTGCCTCCCCCTGGATCCTCACCCTGATCCTGTCCCCTGCCGCCCGCCCTGCAGACCAGTGCTCTCTTAATAACGGAGGCTGCAGCCACAACTGCTCAGTGGCACCTGGCGAAGGCATTGTGTGTTCGTGCCCTCTGGGCATGGAGCTGGGACCCGACAACCACACCTGCCAGATCCAGAGCTACTGTGCCAAGCACCTCAAGTGCAGCCAGAAGTGCGACCAGAACAAGTTCAGCGTGAAATGCTCCTGCTACGAGGGCTGGGTGCTGGAGCCGGATGGCGAGAGCTGCCGCAGTCTAGGTGAAACATGGGTGAAAGGTGGCGGGGAAGGCTGGGCAGGCTGAGGCAGGCCCCTAAGCTGCAGTTGGCTGCGTTTGGGCTGCCGGATGCCAAAGGCTGTGGTTTCCATCCATGACCAGGCCCAGGGCCAACAGAGACCCTGCCCTGCCTGCTCCTTGACAGGGGGGCTCTGAGGCAGCAAGCCCTGTGCTGACCTCTGTCACACTCCTCCCCAGACCCCTTCAAGCCATTCATCATCTTCTCCAACCGCCATGAGATCCGGCGCATCGACCTTCACAAAGGAGACTACAGCGTTCTGGTGCCCGGCCTGCGCAACACCATAGCCCTGGACTTCCACCTCAGCCAGAGCGCCCTCTACTGGACCGATGTGGTGGAGGACAAGATCTACCGCGGGAAGCTGCTGGACAACGGAGGTGACGGCCCCCTCCTGCCAGCCCTAATGCGGTGGGGAGGGTAGGGGAGCTCTGCAGAGAGACGGGGCACTTGGGCACTCAGAGTCTCAGGCCCAGATCCAGGCCACCCCGAAGCAGAGGCCCTTAGTTCTCCCATCCCCCACACTCTCGTTAATTGGGTTAGATTTTGCTGTGGGTCTCAGTTCCTGACGCCCCGTAATTATCCTCAGCAAAGCTGCAGCCTGATAATTAACAAAATGATCAGCCTTTCTTTGGAATGGTCTGGAGCTCCCCAAATCCTAGAACTGCAAGCTTAAAAGGAAAAAGCCATTTAGGAATGGGGTACCTGAATTATGCCTTTGAACCAAAGGCAGCCTGACCCATCACAGACATCTTTCATCAATAACACACATATTGAGCACCTGCCATACACACCTGGCCCTGGGGAGACAGCGGTAATCAAAACAGGGTAAAATGTGTGTCCTCACGGAGCTTACGTGCGAGGGGAGACCTCAGATACAAATAAGTACAACATGGAATATAACAGAAGGGGATACATAGAGAAAGGAGGCAGGGGGGTGAGTAGGGAGAATGGAGGTCAGTATTTTAAATGGGAGGGTCAAGGAAGGCCCCCTGAGAAGGTGACATCTGAGCAAAGACTTGAAAGAAGCACATTTACTAAAGGAGTTTGTATTGTTTATAATAGAGAAAACTTGGAACCATCCCAAGTGTTCATTAACAAGGGTATAGCTAAGTAGATTGTGACAGATTGTTGACAGATACAGATTATAGACATAGATATATAGATATCACCATGGAAAAATCTTTAAGACAGTCTTTGAAGTGACTTAGAAAGTTCTGTCCTCATGCTGACTCTACACCTGTCCTCCAAAGCCTCCACCCTCTGCTCTGACCTCCTCCCATGGGTTAGCCCTTCAGAGAGCTGCAAGCAGAAGAAAGCTGTGACCTCCACTTCTTCAGGGTTCTGGAAGCGAGGCCTCTTCTCTCCTATTTGACCTGGTGGAGCAGGGGGCTTGGGTGAGGAGAGTAGAGGGTCTGTGAACCCCAGGTGATTCCAGGGTGCATCAGAGGTACTGGCAGAAGTGTCAAGGTTGAAGGTGGGTCCTACTATACTGTGGTTTCACTCCCATGACCTTCTCTTCTCCAGCATTGACTAGTTTTGAAGTGGTGATTCAATACGGCCTGGCCACCCCCGAGGGTCTGGCTGTAGACTGGATTGCAGGCAACATCTACTGGGTGGAGAGTAACTTGGACCAGATTGAGGTGGCCAAGCTAGATGGGACCCTTCGGACCACCCTCCTGGCTGGTGACATTGAGCACCCAAGGGCAATCGCGCTGGATCCACGGGATGGGTAAGAACTCTGCCCAGCCCTATTCTGGCCCCATGGTCTCCTCTGAAGCCTTGTTCACCCAGGTCAGGGACACCTGTCTCTTCAAATGCTATTCACCTCCTCCGCCCTTTACCCAAGATCCTATAATAGCCCTGCCCCAGGCCCTCGACCTTGGTCCCTCCATGACTCCCTCTCCATTTCCCAGGATCCTGTTTTGGACAGACTGGGATGCCAGCCTGCCCCGCATCGAGGCAGCCTCCATGAGTGGGGCCGGCCGCCGCACCATCCACCGGGAGACAGGCTCAGGCGGCTGGCCCAACGGGCTCACTGTGGACTACCTGGAGAAGCGCATCCTCTGGATCGATGCCAGGTCATTGCCCCCCACCACACCCCCAGAGGCCTCCATCTTCCCCCTCCCCCGCAGGCCAGGGTGGGGTCTGGAGTCCCAGGATTTGGCAGTGATAAGGATGGTGAAAAGGCCTGAGGCAGCTGGAGCCAGAACTGGGGCAGCCAAGGGCTGGGCCAAGTAAGAGGACTGAGGTGAGGGGAGAGGGGAGAGGACGGAGGAAGAGGGGTGGGGAGAAAGAGGGTGGATGCAGGGCTGTCACCCCATGCAGGGCTGTCACCCCATGCAGGACTGCCTGGCTGCGGTGAGGGCGAGGCTAAGATGCAACCTCCAGTCCTCACTCACAAACCTGTGTGCTCTGCTAGGGGGCTTTGTACCCCCAGGGGAAGGGGAAACTTCTAACTGTTCTACTCAGAGGGGTACCTTTTTCCAACCTCACCAAAAAAAAAAAAAAAAAGCCCCATGTGTGCTAACTGTGGCCCCATGGAGAAGTGAGCCAAGAGATTCTTGGAATTAGGATCCAAGAGCTGGGATCCTAGACCTCAAACCACTCTGGTTCTCATCCCATGTCCTTCTGTCTGCCCTTCCTGGCCAGCAAGGCCTGGGAGGAAGGCCTGCTCCAGTGTGCTAGAACTATGGGGGGAGGGGGGGGGCCAAGCATGGCCCCCGCCATCATCCTCACTCTGCCCCGACCACGCTCTCAGGTCAGATGCCATTTACTCAGCACGTTACGACGGCTCCGGCCACATGGAGGTGCTTCGGGGACACGAGTTCCTATCGCACCCGTTTGCAGTGACGCTGTATGGGGGGGAGGTGTACTGGACAGACTGGCGGACAAACACGCTGGCCAAGGCCAACAAGTGGACCGGCCACAATGTCACCGTGGTACAGAGGACCAATACCCAGCCCTTTGATCTGCAGGTGTACCACCCCTCCCGGCAGCCCATGGGTAAGGGGCCAGCAGCCTCTTTAGAAGCCCTTAGGAGAAGAGGGGGCGGTGAGAGCATGAGGAATGGCGGGGGTGGGCCAGTCTGCTGACCGGAGGGTCTGGCAGACGGCGATGCTGGAACAGGGAGGGTGAGAGTGGGTGAAGAGGGGGCGGTCGGGGTGAGACAGGGCAGGGGCCAGCAAGTCACAGAATGTTCTCCATTCTCCTCTCCCCCACCCCCAGCTCCCAATCCTTGTGAGGCCAATGGGGGCCGGGGCCCCTGCTCCCACCTCTGTCTCATCAACTACAACCGGACCGTCTCCTGCGCCTGCCCCCACCTCATGAAGCTTCACAAGGACAACACCACATGCTATGGTAGGAGGCCCCTCTCTCAAGAGCCAGTGGTAAACTGAGGCTGAAGGGGAAGGTGTCAGGTATCCAGGCTCCCAGGTGTAAGTGAAGATAGACCATCCCAGCGGGGAGGGGCCTGATGGGAGAGGTTCCAGAGACAATGGCTGTAAGAAGGTGCGTGAACTCAGGCAGGGAGCCCGACAGGAGCACTTCCATATCACCAACGGCCAGATAGAAGGAACCAAAAGAGGGAGGGACCCTAATCTGAGTGGGTGGGAAGCATGAAGGTAGGGGGCTGCCCTCAGTGACCTGCCACATGCCCCACAGAGTTTAAGAAGTTCCTGCTGTACGCACGTCAGATGGAGATCCGAGGGGTGGACCTGGACGCCCCCTACTACAACTACATCATCTCCTTCACGGTGCCCGATATTGACAACGTCACGGTGCTAGACTATGACGCCCGTGAGCAGCGCGTCTACTGGTCCGATGTGCGGACGCAGGCCATCAAACGGGCCTTCATCAATGGCACAGGCGTGGAGACTGTCGTCTCTGCAGGTCCTGCCCTTGCCCTGGACCCCGGCAGTGGGTGTGGGCGCCCCCCACCGAGCCCTTGCTCCCATCCCTGATCCCCTTGGTCCTAATATTCTTTTTCCAAATCCAGTCCCTTCTCAATGCCCCAGCCCTGGTTTCCCAACCCTGACTACCCGCAAAATCAGCCCAGCCCCCCCTTCCTCCCATCTCCCAACCTATGCCCTGCAAACACCCAATCTCCAACTCCCCACTGTGCCCCTCAGACTTGCCAAATGCCCATGGGCTGGCTGTGGACTGGGTGTCCCGAAACCTCTTCTGGACGAGCTATGACAGCAACAAGAAGCAGATCAATGTGGCCCGGCTGGACGGCTCCTTCAAGAATGCGGTGGTGCAGGGCCTGGAGCAGCCCCACGGCCTGGTTGTCCACCCCCTGCGTGGGTCAGTCCAGGGCCCGAGGTCGGGGAGTGTGGGGTGTGGGGCAGGGAGAAAAGAGGAGTCTGACTTCACCTTCCCGGCACCCTCCCAGGAAGCTCTACTGGACCGATGGGGACAACATCAGCATGGCCAACATGGATGGCAGCAACCGTACCCTGCTCTTCAGTGGCCAGAAGGGCCCTGTGGGTACGGCTCGCCTTGCCTGCGCTACCGCCCTTCCCTAATTCCCCACCAGGAGACCCTCGGGGTTCCTCAACTGCCCCTCTGTCTCCCGAACTCCCAGCTTAGTCCTTGTCCTCACCATCCTCCCCCAAACCCACACATCCCTCAGCCCCTGACCTGGGTGCCAGGCTTTCCGGTGGCAGTGACGCTCCCCTCTTCCAGGCCTGGCTATCGACTTTCCTGAAAGCAAACTCTACTGGATCAGCTCTGGGAACCACACCATCAGCCGCTGCAACCTGGACGGGAGTGGGCTGGAGGTCATTGACGCCATGCGGAGCCAGTTGGGCAAGGCCACTGCCCTGGCCATCATGGGTGAGGCTGCTGGGTGGGCGTAGGGACTGGATCAGAGAGGCCGGGTTGGGTTGGCCTGGGGGTGGGGCACTCCCCAGGGTCTCATCCCCTCCTGCCTCCCCAGGGGACAAGCTATGGTGGGCAGATCAGGTGTCAGAGAAGATGGGCACGTGCAATAAGGCAGACGGCTCAGAATCCGTGGTCCTGCGTAATAGCACCACCCTGGTGATGCACATGAAGGTCTACGATGAGAGCATCCAGCTGGGTAAGGCAGGGGGCCAGGCCATGGGTAGGGGGTGGGCTAGAGAGAGGTGAGGGCCGTGGCCAGGAGTGGCTACAGGAATCCCTGGGCAAGGAAGTGAATGCAAATGAACACGGGTTAGACTCCGCTCACCACCCAGGGGGCCCCCCTTTCTCATCGTCACAGAGGTACCATAGGTGCTTACAGCCACTCTGGTCATAAGTGCCAGGAGCCTGGGAGGACAAAAGACCTGAGTGTGCATCCCCGCCGGGATGTGTGGGGTCCCAGCCGGGACCTGAGTGTGGATTGGGTGGTGACCCCCACAGGTCCAGGGTGAAGGCGGTGACTCTCCTGCCCCTGAGCAGTGCAAGCCTGACACTAAGGTACCGAGAAGGGCCACCTAACCCTTTCTCTGTGCCTCCTACCCACCCCAGACCATGAGGGCACCAACCCCTGCAGCGTCAACAACGGTGACTGCTCCCAGCTCTGCCTGCCCACGTCGGAGTCGACCCGCTCCTGCATGTGCACAGCCGGCTACAGCCTCCGGAGTGGCCAGCAGGCCTGCGAGGGTCAGTGCTCCGCCCCATCTTCTTGCTCCCCACCTTGTCCCAAGCCCCCAGCCCTGAGACCCCCCTACCCCGCAGCCCCGCCATCCTCCTCTCACCTTGGGGACAGGAACTGGATTCATCATGTGTTATGAAGTGCCTTCTGGGTTAGATGCTTAGTAAGCCCTCACTGTGAGGGGTGCTAGGCTTTATAAGACAAGTAGGATTTGGGTGCGCGGGTCAAAGGGGAAAGGACAATAAGTTGGGCACTGGGTCCAGAGCAATATGCGCAGAGACCCTGAGGCACCAAGCCCGAGTGGTGGGCAGACTGTTGGGGGGAGTCATAGGTGATCGACTGTGAGGTAGGGCCAGCCTCCTGTGGGTTCTCAGCCAGAAGTGACTGGAAAGTGGTGTTTGGGGCAGATTAACCTGGCGGCAGAGAGCCGGCTGGGTGGGGGAGGGAGAAACCGGGGCAGTTAGACCAGTTAGGAGGCTATTAGAGTGAGCCCGGTGTTAAGAGACGGGGCTTAGCAGCTGGGTTTAAGAGAAGAGATGAGACTCAGAGACATTTCACAAGAACTTGCTGACTGATTTATGAGTTTGCCCCAGGACAGACAGCACTTCCCAAAGTGCGCTCCTGGGAACCTCCCTCTTTGATGTGGGTAGGTGTTACAGAGAGAAGCACTGGGTTGAACAAAGTTTAAGTGTTTTTTTGTTTTGTTTTTTTTTTGCTGTAGAACTTCTCAGAGTCTTAAATACGCTCATCTGCGCTGAGAATTTTTCAAGAGGAGACTAATGTTTGGGGTTTCCCCAAACTCCCTTGTCTATGAACCCTTTTTTTCAAGGACCCTGAGAAATGAGAGCCCGCTGGGGGATTCATCTGGGGACACACTGTATCATGGGGTAGTGGGAGTGGAGGATTCTGGCTCATGTGGATAGTGGCGCCTCAAAAGAAACGGGAAAACAGAATGAGACTGGATCAGGAGTGAGATGCCAAGGATGTTGAGTTTTAGGTGTTTGAGCATGTGTGGCGCAGACCAGACTGGGGAGGACAAAGAGGCAACTAAGGTGGAAGTCTCCATTTAGGAATCATCTAGTTCCACTGCCTTGGCTGAAACTCCCTAGCTTTTGGGGGTGCTAGGTTGTATTGAGTGAAGTTGAGGGCCCCTTTGGGGGAGAGAAGTCATGGTCTCTTCTGCCCTCTAGTGGGTGATACTGGTCTTGCAGGTGGTTCCCTAGAGCTGCCCTCCCTTCCCACCGCCCCCCCACCCCCTACCCGCCAGGTGACCTCCCAGCCCAAGCTGCAGGCCTCAGGCTCAGGTGTGTTTATCTGTGTGTTGAAGGGTGAGGCGTGATGTCTGGGAGAAGATACCAAAAGGAAGCAGAGAATAGGTTTGAGAGTGACAGAACCCAAGTTTAAAGGGGTGTCAGTGAGACCCGGGCCTGAAGTATCCCTGTGTTTCAGGTGTGGGCTCCTTTCTCCTGTACTCTGTGCATGAGGGAATCCGGGGAATCCCCTTGGATCCTAATGATAAGTCAGATGCCCTGGTCCCAGTGTCGGGGACCTCCCTGGCTGTCGGCATTGACTTCCATGCTGGTGAGTGATTTGGTGACAGGAGGGAGTGGGACATTACTTTGGGGGTAGTGTGCTCTGGGAGCCCATTGAGAGGCGGCCTGATCACAGCTGGAGGGGAAGATACCACAGCTACCCCCACCGTGCTCTATCTTCCCTTCCAACCCCTGTGCCATGCTCCCCGCCAGCACTCACCTCTGTCTTGACTGCCATTTGATTCTGACCCCCCCAACCTTTCCCCTGCCTTGTCGGGCATTCCCATGTTGGCTCCTCCACCTCCAGAAAATGACACCATTTACTGGGTGGACATGGGCCTAAGTACCATTAGCCGGGCTAAGCGAGACCAGACATGGCGTGAGGATGTGGTGACAAACGGCATTGGCCGCGTGGAGGGCATTGCAGTGGACTGGATCGCAGGTGAGCCATGAGAGGGCCCTGGGCGGGCTGAGGGCCTCCAGGTGAGGTGGGGGCCTGGAGGAGCGAAGTGGGATCTCAGGAGTCTGAGGAGAAGGAGAAGGCAGGAACAGACAGGGGAGTAGTAAGGATCTAGGGACTAGAAGGGGACCAGGTCCATGCATTCCCACCCAGTCCCCCTAATCCCCACCCACTCCCTCCTCAGGCAACATCTACTGGACAGACCAAGGCTTTGATGTCATCGAGGTCGCCAGGCTCAATGGCTCTTTCCGCTACGTGGTCATCTCCCAGGGTCTGGATAAGCCCCGGGCCATCACTGTCCACCCAGAGAAGGGGTGAGAAGCTGGACAAGCTGTCCAGTTCCCAGCCCTGGCTTGGTTCTGGCCTGGTCACTCTCCACAGCCCACACTGATGAAGCCCTCTCTCCTCCATGGTCTGAGGACTGACACCCCACTTCTACCTCCTCCACCCCCCAGGTATCTGTTCTGGACTGAGTGGGGCCAGTATCCACGTATTGAGCGGTCTCGGCTAGATGGTACCGAGCGAGTCGTGCTGGTTAATGTCAGCATCAGCTGGCCCAATGGCATCTCAGTGGACTATCAGGTTTGGGTGCAGGCTTGGCCCTGGAGCCCTTGGGATATCCCGACCCCATGTTGTGGGGGGAGGCTCCCCTTACCCTATGCTCTGCTCCCCATAGACTCTCCCTATGGTGAGCCCCCATTAGGTGGGGAGATATGGACCCAGGGTAGGTCTTGGGGTCTTCTGGACCAGCTCCTGACCCAGAATAGGACTCCCACCACCCTACAGATGGTGGGGGGCTATCACTCAGAAGTGAAGACTGAAGGCATTCTAGAAGGGCTGGCAGATCAGCAGGTCAGGGGGCAGGGAGGATGTGGAGGAAAGGAAGAGAAAGACAGGAGAGGCAGGAGTGAGTGGGACATGCCCTGATGCTCAGGACACTGGGGCCAGTGGGGGTGCTGGGCACTGGAGGTGAGGTGGGCGCCTCTGGTCTATAGGATGGGAAGCTATACTGGTGTGATGCCCGGACAGACAAGATCGAGCGGATTGACCTGGAGACGGGCGAGAACCGTGAGGTGGTTCTGTCCAGCAACAACATGGACATGTTCTCAGTGTCTGTGTTTGAGGATTTCATCTACTGGAGTGACAGGTGAGACCTTCTGCCCTGGCCTTCTCCCTGGCCATCGGTTCCCTCCCTCCTGACCTCTGTCAGTGCCCTGCTCACGGCCTGGCCTTCCCTTCCCCCAGGACTCACGCCAATGGCTCCATCAAGCGTGGGAGTAAAGACAATGCCACAGATTCGGTGCCCCTGAGAACAGGCATTGGCGTCCAGCTCAAAGACATCAAAGTCTTCAACCGGGACCGGCAGAAAGGTGAGGCGGGGGCTCCGGTCCAGGCAGGAGAGGCACACAGGAGCCCCCTGGCCTGGGAGCTATCTCCCAGAGTGAGAGGGGCTGGGAGAGAAGCTGGACCCATGGGGACACTTCCCAGTGGTTCCAGAGACCGAGGGTGGTGAGGAGGGGCTGGGGAGCTCTAAGACTGGTTTGGGTACCAAATGCTGAGGCAGAGCAGCGCGCCGACCAGAATGTCCATCTTGGTTGGGATTCCAGAGGCACCAGTGAGCCTTTTCCCAAGATGGGCCCTGCCCTCCGTAACCACCTCCTTCCCGTGCCCTCCCCCCAGGTACCAACGTGTGCGCAGTGAATAATGGCGGATGCCAGCAGCTGTGCCTGTACCGGGGTGGGGGGCAGCGGGCATGTGCCTGTGCCCACGGGATGCTGGCTGAAGACGGGGCGTCGTGCCGGGAGTACGCAGGCTACCTGCTTTACTCAGAGCGCACCATCCTCAAGAGCATCCACCTGTCTGATGAGCGCAACCTCAATGCACCCGTGCAACCCTTTGAGGATCCTGACAACATGAAGAATGTCATCGCTCTGGCCTTTGACTACCGAGCAGGCACCTCCCCGGGCACCCCCAATCGCATCTTCTTCAGCGACATCCACTTTGGAAACATCCAACAGATCAATGACAATGGCTTGGGGAGGATCACCATTGTGGAGAGTGAGCCCAGACCCCGACCTTCCCAGGAGGGGGTGGGGGGTAGGGGACTGTGCGGAGGACCAGCAGGGACTCAGGGTAGAAGAGCCCTCAGACATCAGCCAGCCCGCCCCGCCCCAGATCTGAGTCCCAGCTGCAACTGACTGTGTCCCTGACAAGTAGCCAGCGGATCACACTGCACCCATTATACTTACTTGAAAGTTTCTCCTCATTTGGAGTCAGACCTGGCCGCCCTCTCCCTTCCCCCTCTGGTCCTAGTTGGTCCCCAGGCTGCACAGAATAAGCCAAAGCTCTCCTCTGTGTGTCCAGTGCTCACAGCACAGGCTGCAGAGACAGGCTAGGTTCAACCCGAGACACAGGATTTCAGGAACTTGCGTAAGTCTCCCGGGCCGTCCAAGATTTCTTATCTGCATAGTGAGACGGGATCACCTGAACCGCAGGCGGGAACACTCAGCTCAGCACAGGCGTCATGTGCACCCTGCAGAGAGTAGTGGGAGCCAGAGCTGTCATCCCAGGACAGCCTTTCAGCTCTGTGAAACGTGCTGTTTTGTCCCACTGCAGTTTTCTCTTCTCCAGCCTGGATGCCCCAGGGTCCTTTGACTCATTTGTTCATTTATTTATTCATCCTGGCCGCGGAGACCTGCCAGACACTATTCTAAAGGCTGGTATACAGCGATGATAAACCTAGATCTGTTCTTTGACCCTCCTCTGGACATTTCCTGCTCCACACAGTCCAATCCACATGCCTGTCTAAAAACGTGGCCAAAGCTAAACTAGATACCCTGTGATCGTAACTTGATCAGGAGAGACTGGCAAGAACCGTCCCCTCCCTTCAGGTCATTGTTGAAGCCACAATACTTCTATTAATGCAGCCTTCTGGCAACCACAGCTGTCATACAGCTAGAAGCCACTAAAATCCTTTTTAGGGAGTCTTTTTCCCTTAGGCTATGGTTCTATTACCCATTGTGCACTTAATTCTTTAACCTGAGTTTAGGGTGTCTGCAAATCAATCCAGGTTCAGGTCTTGTTAAGCAGGAAGCTCCCATCCGATACAGACCAAGTCGGATGTGATTTACTAAAATCCATAAAGCCAATTCTCCCCAGCTGTGGGGAGAAGCAGGAAGGAGGGTCAGGGAGATGGACCATGGATCATTTGGGTAGAAAATAGGGAAGGACAGGAGGGGCTGGGGTGCCAAGGCTGTGTCTCCACATGCTCCTTGGTTCCCACATGTGGCAGAGGAACGGGCACTCCAGGCCGTCCCCAAGTTCATGCCCCGGTTGCCCTTTCAGCTCTGCTCTCTGGCTGCATCCCAACTTATGACTGCTCCTGTCTCCTCGCAGATGTGGGCTCTGTGGAGGGCCTGGCCTATCACCGTGGCTGGGACACCCTCTACTGGACAAGCTATACCACATCCACCATCACCCGCCACACAGTAGACCAGACCCGCCCAGGGGCCTTCGAGCGCGAGACGGTCATTACCATGTCTGGAGACGACCACCCACGAGCCTTTGTGCTGGACGAATGTCAGAAGTGAGCTGCTGGGTGTAGGGAGTGGGTGGCAGAAACTGCTCCAGGCAGCCCCGGGTGGGGGGTGAAGCAGTAGGAGAGGCTGGCTTTCACCTGAGATCAGCCACTTCCTTGCTGTGACCTTGGACCAGCTGTCTGAACTGTCTGAGCTTTAGTTTCCTCACCTGTAATATGACAACAATATTTCAGGTACCCGAACCAAGGGGAGGATCGGGCTGAGGGGTTGTGAAGGACAGTTCTGTCTCAGTGATTAGTCAATTCATTCATCAGAGAGTCCATGTTCAAGGCACATAGTAGGTTCTCTGTGTTGCTGGGACTCCAAGCTTCAGGCCAAGATTGTTCACTGAACACTTGTTGCCCGGAAGCTTTGACCTGGCTGAGGAGAGAAACCATAGTGCTGGGAAGCATGGAGACCAGTACAGGGCTATACGTGATGACCATGAGGCCCCACAGAGGCGGCGGCTTGGCACCTAGAAGTGGAAAGGCCAGGGAAGGACAGCCCAGACACAGGGCAGTGCTTTGAGCAAGAGCCAGAGGAGGGAGTGCTGTAGGCGGGGAGCGACTATGAGGAGCCTCCCCAGTGCCCTATCAAAGGGCTCTGGGGAGCAGGATCAGGTCCAAGGGAGACCCCAGAAGCTGGGCTCAGGTTGCAAGGGAGTCTGGAGCACAAGTCAGGAGGACCTGGGAGGAAATACCCAGAGGTGGCACATGCCCTTGATCTCTACCTGCCCTGTTCTCCTGCAGGGCAGCCCCTGCTCCCATGGTGTGGTCCTCTAGTGAACTGCCTCCTCACCTTAGAAACCCTGGCCCACATGTACGCAAAACTGTTTTCCCCAGAATTTAGCAGCACTTGGAATGTTTTCCCAGAGCTTTGCTAGGAAACTAAGGGACAAACAAAAGCCAAAAGCAGCTACTTAGAAATGGTGAGTGTACCGACTGAACCTAGATTCCTCACCCTGATATCGCTTGAGTTCAGCCCTAGCCCAGCCTACTTGGCCCTGTAGACCAGGACAAAGGCCCTCTGTCGCTGGCCTGCCTCACCCTGGCCTGCATGTACTTGGCTCATGACAAAGATCCTATCTGCCCTCTGTGACCCTTGGTGACTTTACCTGTCTTGGGCTGGCCTCAGGACGTGTCCCTTAGGGGCCTGGACCCTCCATGGAAGGGCAGTGCTCCTGAGCACCCCTGCCTGCCTCCCATCCTCAATCTGGATATGGTGAGGCACTGTGTCTTCAGAAGCTCCTCCGTGGCTGCCTGCCAAATTCCTTTGCTCTCAGCCTAGGGGTCCCATCATTCACTCAGCAAGTGGCGTTTGAGAACCAATGATGTGCTGAGGATCGAGGGGAGGACGAGATGGACATTGGCTCTGCCTCGGGCATATTTGATACTGGCCATGAGGCTACAGGGAGCTTTAGGTGTGTAAGAAGGACCTGACCTGGGTTGGATACCAGAAACATGTCCTCAAGGATGCCCAGCTGAGCCAGGGTCTGGAGGATGGTGGGTGCACTAAATCCAGGGCAGGGTGCGGGAGAAAGGGCTCAACAATCTGGGAGACCCTGTCCTAGCCAGAAGGAATAAGTGCTTTGGAGACACGGGGGGGGGAGGGCACAATGTGATGAAAGGGGCAGGGACCTCCTGCTGAGCCTCCCCTACAGCTGGCCCCGGTTTCCAGGTTGCTCACAGTTCTGGCTGCTGACAGCCTACCCCTCAGGAAAGCCCTTTCTCCCCACCCTGCCCCGCCACCCACTTCCTGGGGAGTGGTTTTACCAAACCTGGACTCCTCAGTTGCAGGACCTGTCATTCTTCCACATATAACAGTTTGTCATGGTAGAAGGAAAGCCACTTCCCACTGCAGAGTGAACTGGGTTCTACCCAAGGGCATGGGAGTCCCTGGCTGGGCACCAGCAAGGCAGGGAGGATGACTCTAGCCGCTGTCCCTGGAACCTCCATTTCTTCTGTGGGAGCCAGGGAGAGATGCTACCATTCTTGATGGCATCATGCCACCATCCAAACTCCCATGCTGATTCCAAGAGCCATCCAGGACCCCACCCCTTTCCCCAGGCTGAGGGCCTTTAAAATCAGAGACTTATCCTCGAGAGCTCCCAGTGACTTGGGAGTAGCCAGCACCTTCCTAAGTGGAAGTATAGTGGCAGGAGGCCAGAACTCAAATGTGCTGGAGAGACTGGGGGGGGGGGCGGGGGGCGGAGGGTGTTAAAAAGAGGCCTGGAGAGGTTTGAAGAGACAGGACCACCAGCCTGAAGACAGCTCTGTGTCCAGAGCAGCAGAAGGCAGAGGGCATGGGCGGGAGGAAGCAGGTCCTATGAGATAGCCAGAGAACAGATGAAGCTAGATGGGTCTCAAACTCCAGAGTGTATGAAGCTCACCTGGGGAATGATGGGACATGCTGGTTCCCTGGCCCCAGACTGTCTGCGACAGAGGACCCAGGAATCAAGATCCAATGCAGGTGGTCTGAGAACCCCACTGTCACACCTAGTGTAGTGCCTGACCAGCCCTGAAGTCTCTGGAGCGTCACCACCCCCAAAAGGAACACGGCACGGCCGGATCTCACCACCTCCTTTACTGAGAGGAGGCCGAGGTGTAGAAACAAGAGGCTGGTTCAAGGTCAGAGCTTGGAAGGAGCAGAGCTGGGACTCAGACTCCAAATGTGCAAAAGATTTAAGTTATGGAGAAGGTAGTTTTCAAGAACTTCTTGAGGGTAGGGTCCATGCGTCCCTAGGACTAGGAGACACTAGATACTCACAAGGATTTCCTGAATGCCAGGTGAAAAGCGCCTAAGAATAAAATATGTAAAACCTTGGATTGCAAGTAACTTGTTCTGCAAGTGTTTCACAAGACGAGCGAATATTTCTAATAAATTTTGACTTGATAAATGAGTGATGTCTTGCAATATGAGTCGTACGTGATGCTGAATGTCACATAATCACAACTAAGCCAAGGGCTCTTAAAATCTGCTTTGATATATGGGCGCTTTGGATTACAAGCATGTTTCTGGAACGAAATTATGTTTGCAAACCAAGGTTTTACTATAATAGGAAATACTCATGTGGCATCTACCAGCTGTCACTAGATGAATATTAATAGTCTTTTAACTCTTAAACCACTCTATGAGGCAGGTAATAGTATAATCCCTACCTCGTGGAGGAAACTGAGGCACAGTTAAGTCACTTGTTGAGGTTCCTAACTGGTACATCGCAGAGCCAGAATGGGAACCCAGAGCCTGACTTACCTGGCTACACGGTCTCTCAGTAAACACAGATGGCCGTTTCACAGATACTTAGAAATATGTGTGCACACGTACACACACACCAACTGTGCAGCAGCTAGGCCCTTCCTGGGCACCAGGGCTGTGTTGGCCTGGGTGGCTATGAGCTTGCCTGTTGTGCTGAGAAATGGTTCACACCCTGGCTGACCCTCGGGTTCTGGTCGACTCCTTACCCTGGCCTGGGCCCTCTATGGCGGATTCCCTGGCTTCGAGTCCTGATCCCCGTGGCCATGTCTTCCCCCAGCCTGATGTTCTGGACCAACTGGAACGAGCAGCACCCCAGCATCATGCGGGCGGCCTTGTCAGGGGCCAATGTCCTAACTCTCATCGAGAAGGACATCCGCACCCCCAATGGCCTGGCCATCGACCACCGTGCTGAGAAGCTCTACTTCTCCGACGCCACCCTAGACAAGATTGAGCGCTGCGAGTACGAT